ACCAGATGAGAAAACTATATAGATACCCCATAATAATAATAATAAAAATCGATCTTAAAAGGTTATGGGAAGGGCAAGTCAAAAACCTGCAATCTTTCTTTTATGAAAAATCAGCTAATAGTCCGTTACATCAAGCAGTCATTGAATCAGATAACAATTATACCCCTCTAAATCTAAGTAATCAAGGTAATAGATCTACTACAGTAATTGATCATGAAAAAGGAAAGCTATCAAAGTGGCGTAGTAAAGAATTACATGGTAGACATGCACACGATTTAGAACAACCTCACATAGACTTGCTGGCTTCAAATAAATGGTTAAAATAGGTTCTCTTTTCCCCGAAACCGAAGGTTTTCTTATTGCCATTCAGGATCAAGTAATCAATACAAGAAACTATAAAAAATACATATTAAAAGACCCAAACATGCAGAACGATAGTTGTAGAAAATGCCACCGCCAACCCGAAACTATACAACATATTACCGGTGCTTGTCCCAGCCTAGTACAAACTGATTACACCCACCGTCATAACCAGGTTGCTATTTACGTTCATCAAAAACTTGCAAATAAACACAATTTAATCCCGAACCAAAAACTACTGCCGTACTATCAGTATACCCCCAAACCTGTTCTGGAGAGCGACAGTCACAGAATGTACTTTGATAGAGCTATTCTTACCGATAAAACAATTCATTACAATAGACCGGATATAACTTTAATTGATAAATTAAATAAAACAGTATATCTAATTGATATAGCGATCCCAAATACCCATAATATACAAAAAACCATTACTGAAAAAAATCATAAATACACAGAATTGAAAGAAGAAGTAACTAGAATCTGGAAAATGAACAAAGTATATATTGTACCGCTGGTTCTCTCCAGTACTGGTGTGATCCCGAAATGTTTGTCTCTCTCCCTTAAACGATTAGATCTTCCTGAAAATAGTTATATTACCATGCAAAAAGCAGCCATCCTCAACACGTGCCGTATAGTCCGAAAATTTTTGCAAGAAGGCATCTCGGATTTTGATTCCCAAATGGATGCGCACTTGGCTTAGGCCCGTGAACATCTCTTAAAAACCAAGATTTTACAAAATCTTGAGAAAGAAAAAAGAATAATAATAATATTCCACAACTATCACACACAACGCCATCTAGTCCCAAGCTAAGCAGAGCTTGTGTTATGGGTACTAGACAACTGATAAACATACTTATATATTTCTAAATACATAAATATTATAGATAAATTACACCCAGACACAGAACAAATGATCGTGCTCATCACACAAACATTTGTCCTGGGTGGGAATCGAACCCACGACCTCCGGCATAGCAGTCAGGGTCACTAACCACTAGACCAACAGGCAAGTCAGTGTTTGTCGTTATTTTCGTGTAATTCTAGTAATTTTTATAGAATAAGGAGTGACAACCGAACACACAGTCGATCTGATGGTAAGTAAGTACTGTAGCACATAGACATCTCAATCAATCCCAAATTTAAGAATCACAATACAGATGCGCCCCTGAGGACTAAGATGCAATGCCTCGTTTCCAGTGAAAAGGGTATTTGGTTCTCTACACTCACAATACAAAACACAACAGCATTAAGCTGCTATTTTACGCTGTTATTCTGTGAGAGCGTGGTCCTTCCCTAGTCAAGCCGACCTATTCGTGCTACAATCATAATGTAACTGTAGCGTAGCTCTACCACGTATAAACTAGTATTGTGATGACTAACCGTATGTTGACTAGTTTGTCCACTAAATAGTCTCCGGTCGAGGTACAGGGTAGACTAAAATGATAGATCTATGGGTACCAACAAGTTTAGTGCAGAAAGTTTAGCGGTTCGTGTGACGTGGTGACTTGTGTGTCATACAACTGTAACGGCTACCACTGTTGGTATACACAAGGTGAAGACACATATTTTCGTACGAAAACTTCGTTATTTACATGAAATACATGTTTATGCGTTTTATTTTTTTATACCTGAACAGTTCTTAAGAACTCAACGGTCAACAATTAACAAATACAAGACAACGATATGCTGCCTAAACTTAAGTAATAACAATCATCATTATTATAACTATTCCATCCATCCTTTCATATTCCTATATAAGATTCTCCGATCCGTCAGAAGTCAGAAGACCGTTCTCTATCTAGTCAACTGCTGAACAAATAAAGTTTTCTAAAGCTCAAGTCAATTTCTCGTTTAATTTTTTTTCTTATGTTTATAATATCAGTTAACCCAGTCTACCTTCAGCTCTTAATTATTTTGTTGGGTCCGATCTACGTAGTTCTCAGAACGTTTCATACAATTTCACTGTGACCTTTTCTTGATTAATTTTTTTAGTAACAAAACTTACGTGACCTCAAACTCAAAACATGTGCTCATAAATGGAACCTTGTATTTTTGTTTACTTTTATTAATATTATACTTATTTCTTTTATGTTTTTGGGCTTTATTAGACTGGTTAATCCAGAGATTAATAGATTCGATGTATTTTTACACCAGGTACTTATTCAGCACAAAATTGCCTTCTATATTTCTCACCTATAATCTACCGCTGAGCTTTATGAGGATTACAATTTTACTCGAAACGTAACACGATATAACAATAGTGAAATATTAGTTTAGATCACCCGATATCATCTAATCACGCTATAAACAACGACTGAAACAACAATAGCCTTATAATCACCTATCTACTGTTAGAGACGGAACTTTTAAGAATGGCTATCGACTAGCGAGGTTTATTTATAGGATTACATATATTATAATTTGAATTTGTTTTTTTAATTCGTGTTTCTAAATGGTTGTCCGTTTTAAGTTATATTACATTTTTATTTAACATAATAACATAAAAACCACGCTCCACATTTATTTATAAAAAGTTATTGGTGAAATAAAGCGTTTATTACTATTATCATTATTTTAAAGTTCATTTGACTACAATAAACTATGACATCATTTACTACTATACCTCAATTCGATAGTTTAACGTGACAACATCATAACAAAACATTGATGAAATCATTGCCTACTTTTAAAAAAAGGAGTGAAATGAAATCTACAATATAATTTAAGCTCAAGCCGATTGTGCCTTTCGCTCGCTCGTGCAGTAAACACTAATGGTAATGTTAAAAGCTACTGCTGTAATTTCATTAAAATTTTCAAGATTTTTAACTAAATAAGCTGTATTTCACTTTCGATTACACTGCACTGCTGTTTCAAATAATATTATAAATCCAAGTACAACATTTAAAATAACGCTTTTTTGCCTTAACATACACTCCACAGATTATTGAAAAAGGATTATTTGAAATTACACAAAATTCGCGGCTCATTTAGGCACTGCGTGTCTGCCGAATTAATATTGTTTATATTTCTAGCGAAAATTAGTTTTTGATATTAACATTTTTTTCATCATTACCCTCGCCAAGATTAGGCCTTGACCTACCCCATTAATTGACCAAAATCAAATACAAAGTGAGGAGCCATCTGCATCTATCAACTCCTTACTCTAATTTTGTAAAGTTGTGGCAACGAGTTGAGTGTGGGCAAGTATGTTTCCTGGAGAGCTCGAGTTTTAAAATGGTTGTTGATAGTGGTTACTGTAAGGATAAGAAAGAGCAAAGATTCAACATGGTGGTGTGGCTGCTGTGGCCCATAGGCTTTGAATCAAGATGCAGATGCATTCGACCCCTGATAAAGATGGACTGTTTTGTTATCACTAAAAAACGGTCTCTGTTTCGCGTCACTCACTATACGAAATGATAGATTTTTGTATCTGTTACACGCTTTCCTTTTCGTTTCTGTGCGAGCGTAGTCCTTCTCTGGTCGATCCGAACCATTTATTACATATCTACAGCAATAAAACTCTGCAGCGTGGATCTACCGATTAAAATTACGATAACCAACAAAATAAATTTAAATACAAGTAAACAATAGACGATTGATCTTCATATCATATTCACGAAGTTTTATTAATCTATATATTCAAATTCAAAATTTTTATTTTTATATTGATTATAAGTGCAGCCCATGGATACCAACTTCAAACATAGAAAGCTGTGACCACATTGTCAACCTTGATGATGGAGATATATGGTCCCAAACTACTGCTTAGCAAGTATATGTATATAATAGACAGGTACTAACGTAGTCTAACTCTTAGATAAAAAAGGCCCGCCGTTTTGTAATTCTTTGCAACAAGTGCTGCATCTGAACTTATATTAATCTTGCGTTTAATGGTGTGTGCAGTGTTGCATTGCCGCATCGCCACACGGCACGGGTGCGGCTTTACAGATCGGTTGGGCAACCAGTAGCACAATGCCGGGCATCCGTTCCGTCTAGTGCGTTCGATTCTGATAGTCACGCGGGGTGCGTCGTTTGACGAGGTTAAAGTTCCAAATTAATACATTAATATTTACAAGAATAGATTTTTTTAAGTAATAATTACATATTGAAAGTCTAAATAAGTTTTTTTTATTATGTGCGAGCAGCTATGCAGGTCTAGGGAAAGAGACCAGTATTACTGCGACCTAAAAGGTCTATTGTGATCGCAGCTGTGGCTATGGTTCACTGCTAAGCCCTATATCTTCAATGAATAGGAGTTGCTTAGCCGTGAGCAATTACACTTCTTCTGGGCGGAGTGGATAGCTTCCCTGATGAGTGTTACGTTTGCGCATTAGGGGTCCGCAATCAGTTAGGATGTGCAGAGGCATTTCTTTCGTTATGGAACAGAACCGACACATCCTTGAGTTGCTTAGACCCAGGATGGACATGTGCTTTTTAAGACAACATTGTCCAGTTAGGGCTCTTGTCAGAATGCGCAATTTATGTTTACTTAATCCCAGGGCTTATATAGCAAATATCCACCTACGGGAAAATCAGTGAGAAGCCTTATGTCCTTTGGTATATCTCGTTGGTTGTATGTGTTTAATTACCACTGAGAATATAACATTAAAGAAATTTAATGATGTGTTTTATTTCAGATGGTGGTCAACCTGGCGCTGGTAATCTACCACGCGCTAGATTACACTCACGCCGAGGATGAGGAACGACTCATCTCGCCTGACCTTGAAGTTCTAATAACCGAGATGACTGCGTGTGACATCGCTGGTAAGTTATATTGCGATATCAGTTTCCTCGAAAGTATTAACCTAGGTTGAAGAGCCAGCACACTTTAAATACAAAGGTTCAAACAATTATTTAAAAATAAAAAGGAAACAAGTCATTATTCTATCAATATTATTAACTTCGCATCTTTATATTTTTCTATTTATATGAAGCAATTTAAATGATAATCAAATTGGTCTATGATTTTCATATACATTCAAATATTAAGAGCTGAAAGAAAACTGTTCGATCAAATAGCGTTGTTCAAAGGTGAGAAATAATTAATATTCTTGGAAAAGAAAAAAATATTAATAAAAGCTAGTAAAACAGTGTGACGTTGGCGATGATTTCAACTCCTTCCAAAAGAGAAAAAGTTTTATAATAATGTTTTCATTTTCATAAACTTAATAAATTATATTGTTAAATATTTTAATTAGATTAAAAATTACAGAATAAAAAGCTAAGATATAGCCCATGTCAACTATAATATCACGAGGAATAACCTGGTTGACTATAATCCTTGGTTCCAGGGGGAACCCTGGGATCAATGATTGCTGTTACGGCCGCAAATATTAGAAAACAAACTTTAGAAATAATCACTTTTAATGAACGGGAGACAATAATGAAAGTGAATTTCTGGCCTTGTTCTTGAAATAACTAAAAATAAATACAATGTCATTCAGCTTTCCAACACAAGAACATCGGTAAACAAAATTGTATTTAGTTCCGAAATCGTGATAATCGAAAGCAATAAGAAAGGGAGTCGAAAGAAATAACGCGACCAGAGAATGGCCCTTGTGGTAACCGAGTTATAGCACTTACGGAAAGTGCAGTCGGTTTCTCCGTTTGAACTTTCCCCTTTTTGACCTTTTCACTAGATCACGTTATTCGTCACAAAGAAGTGTTCGCTTGAAAGATTTAAGACAAAACCAGTTTTATACGTGTAAACGCTAGATACTTTTTTTTTCGAAAATTATAGAAACGTAGACATTTTAGAAAATTCATATACGATTTATAATTTGATTCCATTCCATTTAAATCTCCCTACGATTTTAGAAAGACGACATAGATGATTGTGACCTACATAGAGTTTTAATGTATTATAGCAGTTATAAACAACATTTTCCGTGTAAAATTTCATAGTGTCATATATAGTTTCATAGAAATGGTTTTTTTAAGGCATACTGCTAAATCAGGACAGGCTTTTATATATCAGGATTTTTTTATCGTATTGCTCCTCATAGTCTAGTAGATTCTCTTCGCCACTACACTACACAACACAACACCCATGGGTCTTGATAGAGGAAAATAAAATTGGACGTGGGTAGCATCTTCTTCCTGAAAACAATTCAAAGTAAAAAATAACTGTGGTTGAGCGTAGCAACTATGGCACATATCCCGTACGAGTATCATGGTCTATGAGGCAATCTATAGGAGAGGCCTGTTTTCAGCATTGCACTTTTGATAGGCTGTAATTATAATTTCTCCTTTAGATTTATATATATTATATTTTTTAAACAAGGTAGATTATTTCACGTAATTTATGAGACCCACTGCGATGCCTGTGATTAGAATCTTCAATTTGATTTATCCCATGCTGAGATATCAATCTCTAGGAAGACGTGCGTTTCATACAACCGTAAACTTCGAAAATCGTTTAAAATTAGGATTCGATTGGTGTGAAAAATTTTGTCCAGACATACTTTGACCCTTGGTTTATTATATTTCCGGCTAGAAAGCGGTTTGTGGTAAGTAAATTTACAATTATATTCAATCCATGATGTTGTTTGCTCTTAATAATGTTTTCCTCTGCGGCCTTTGAAAAAATGGTATTATTTTGTTTTTTATTTAAATTTCTCCATACACTGCGTAACTGCTGCTTTTTGGATCTTGGGGCACGACAGTGGCCCCGCCAAGTTGCCCAAAAATGCGATACGGCCGTACCATCCTTTTCTCGAAGCAATTCAGGCTATTTTCGACCCCCTATAACTTTGTTGTGTATAATACCAGAAGCATGAGTTTTCAGTAACCAAATAGACATTGTATAAACACGGCATATTTCATATTTCATTAAATTTGAATCAGTAGTTTAAGAATTATAACTGGTCAAAATTTCTTAATTTTGTCACTCACTGACTGACTGACCGATCATCAAAACTCTAAGGCACTTCTAGCAGACATAGAAGTTTCAAATTTAGAATACAATTCGTGTTTTGTATATAAATAAATAAAAAACTAAAATATTCTGCGATTTCGGCCGAGTTTTCTAGATACACCAACTGCATAAATAACTTTGGAATCCCATTGAAATATATAGGATTTCAAAGTTACATTTGCAGTGAATGACTCTGTGTACGTGTACATGTACATATAATATAATGGAATAATGGGTGTAGATAGGTACGTTGTTGTTATTTAAGAAGTAGAGGGTAACGGAAAGGAAAAAAAAGTTGAATTATCTACAAAAATAAATGTAATGCCATCAAAAAAATTACTCGTAAAAAAACCAAGTCTCGCAAAGATTTGGTTTTTTTACAAGTTATGTTTTTGATGGCATTACATTTTAACGATTTTAGCCTTAATTATACTTAGTTTTTTGTCACTACCTTTAGAATCAGCTGATGTAAATTCGTGCTGCAAAATAGTTTAATACAATTTTGATGCAATGATTTCATCACACACTTCTTGAAAATAAGTAGGTAATATAATTAAAGACCAAAACATAAGCTGTGAGAATAACCGCGGGAAAACTATTTGATTTACATACAAGCAACACATTCCAGGCCGCCGTGGTATGCTCTGAGATTTCCAGCTATTTTACTCAAATCATGTTCTGTTGATATTTTAGAAATGCGTCGCGATTCCGTATCAGAGCGTTCGCACGATTTACATTTACTGGATATAAATCTGAATCTAGACGCAGCGACAAATCTCCCCTTTATGGATATAATCAGAGAACGGTAATAAATATTCCAAGGATGTAATAATATCACTTTGATAACTCGGACTCCGGTTGAGTTTGGAATATTATTCCGCTGTCGCCGTGGCTCCAATGTTAGTAGTATTTAAAGACACAATGTTAAATGCTATGCGCAAGATATTCATTTTCACTTTCTATTAACATTACAGCTACGTGTTTCTATGAGTGGAATTATATGAAATGCGTAGAATAGAAACCCTCATTTGTTTATTCATGTTATTATTATTTAAAATCTATATTTTATATTATGTAATTAGTAAATGCAACCAGGCGTTGTTCTGGCCTTTCGCGCGGTGAGTATTAGCCCGATGGTAGTTTTACTTTGAACTTTTTGCCACGTAAATAAAAAAAATATTACCAACGCAACTACCGCCAAATTTATCGGGTGCAGTTTTTGTGATTTTCTGTTTTGTGGTTAATTCACACATGTCAGTCATTTTGGTCAGTAAAAATAGAATTTGTTAATAATTTGACTACAGCGCCACCTATCGGGTTCTAGTATTTAGTTCGAAACATCGTCTTGACAAAAATATTTTGTGAATTTTACCTCAAGTCGTTCAGAAGTTTCACGATCGGTAACATATGCACTAAATTATGCTAATGGCTACTGGGGATACGCCTTTTATATTATACTAGCGATCTGTCTCGGCTTTGCACGGATGTTATCTGGATTCCAAAACAGCGCCACCTACCCGGTCCAACTATGCTTATAACCTTCGCAGAAGTGAAAGCAATATGTTGACAAAGTTTTATAGTAAATTTATGAACAGTATGACAGCGATTAAAATACGAACAAATAAATATTAATTTTCATAGATTAGATGGGAGATACAGTTTTTTGAAAAACTGGAATATAGAACTTGTAACCTGGCGGGTAATATTAAATCTCAACAAAAACATAAATCTGAAAAGGGGCCAAGTTCCAGTCCAATGTTATTGAAACTGCATTAGGCTTGTCACCTGTTCAGATCAGATCAGAATTAGTTCACATTCGGAAGGATCGTGGATATTAAATAGAAATAGAAAGTGCTTTGAAAAACAATCATATTTGGAATAGTAAAGTCTTTGAGTATTCAACCATACTCAAAGAGTAAAGTTATTAGCAGCGTCTTTTGTCAGTTTTGATTTTCTAAAAAGAGATGAAAGAGAAGAGAGAAGAGAAAATTTCTGTGATCGTGATACCTGGTAGACGGATTGGCAATCACAGTATCAGACACCCTAGACGTTGTGATCCATGTTATCGCCAGTTTTAGTTTAATTTTCTGGTTCACTGTTAAAGGGAACATAGAAAAACTCACGAATTGTATTGTCAACTTTTTTATTTTTCAAGTTGTAAACAATAAAACAAGCAGGTGTGTCCACGATTTTCTTCAAAATTTCCAGTGATTGTAAAACCATGTACATCTAATACAACTCTTTTATGGTTCTTTTTATAAGTATATGATAACACTAACATGTTCAGATACATTCACATAATTGCTTGCTTTGGTCATAAACATCTATCTTTCTTATTCTCCAGCGAGAGACGACTTTTACGACTTCTTTTATGTCGCATCCAAACAATTGTTCTGATTAGTTTTTACAAAATTAAAAAGCCTCTTTTATTATTGAGTAAATAAATATATATGATCGAACAGTGAGTTCTTTCTGCATGACGTTCTATTATAATCGCCATTTTAAGTCGAATTTATTCAAAGTGAAAGCTATTTGCATATTGTTTAATGCGTTTCCTTTATCGTTGACCTCTGCTCCAACACCGTTGCAAGCGCCACCTATAGTTTGTTTACAACGAAATAGTTATTTCTCCACGCCCGTATTTCACCTCTCAACTTCTCCATAGGTACGTTCACATACGTTATATAAGAGCAAGTCGTGTTTTGTTTCTTTATCCATCGGTAAAGTTTTTATTTTCATTGTAGCGTCCGTTTTTGTAAGCGTCTTGTAATCTCACCTGGATGTTTACGGTTTCCTTCTTTGAGATCAATTGTCCGTCTGTTGCGATGGCATCGCCCGCTGAATTCAT